CACACGAATCCACACCAAGCTCATCGTCCAATCCTGACACGCCACAACGGAGTGATATCTGTACGCACGTCCCTGTCCGTACCCTCTCCACTTCAGTGACACACGACATTTCGACAGAAAACACCCGACTCACCCAAAACGCCATCCACTGAACGACCCTCCCCCCACACTCTGACACTGAACCACCCACGTAAATATGCTCTTTAAACGCCCGCTCTCCATCCCTCCCCCACCCTTTGCCTCCTCCTCCTCCTGACCAATCAAACGACAAATAAATTACCGCACAACCATGGAGCGCGTCATCTCGCAGACACTCGCGTCTGCGCTGCCGACTTTGGACGAAGCGGTCGTCACGTACCTCACGAGCGTCCTCACGGACGAGCTCACGGACGCCTCGTCTGTCGCCCACGACTCGTCGACGCTCGAGGCGCTTCTCGTCACGCACGTCGCGCCGTTTCTATGGAATGAGCACTTTGTCTCGGACCCCGCGTCCGAATCGCACTTCTGTGCCGCTCTTGCCGATAAATTACTTACCAGTACCGAACTTAAGCAGTACTTAACGACCACTGCCTTAGCCTCCTCCAAGTCGAAAGAGCTCCGTGTGCTGGAGAACACGCAGAGCATTGAAGAACAGGCGCGAAGGGATGGACAGAGCGGAGCAGGAGACGCCGAGCAGCTCCTGGAGCGCATGTGGGGCTTTGACAAGATCCGGAAGACCACGAACAACGAGCTGGACGCGCAGGAGTCGGCGCTCTCGGCCCGTCAAGTGCGGAAACAGGTGAAGCTGGAGCAGTTGACTGCGGAGCAGGCCGAAGAGCAGGCGGCGCTGGATCGGGAGTGGGAAGACGCTCGGTTTTTGCCGGATTTGAGCCAAGATAATGGCGAAAAAGACGTGCACGTGCCTCGGTTGACGATCCATTTCAAGGGCAAGACGTTGTTGGTGGACACGGCGTTGAAGATTGTTGCAGGGCGTCGGTATGGCTTGGTGGGCAAAAACGGGGCCGGCAAAACGACCTTGTTGCGGTACATTTCGCACTATGAACTCGAAGGCTTTCCACGCCATCTTCGGATGCAATTGGTGGAGCAAGAGTCGGCGTCCAAGTTGAGCAAAGACGAACGCAGTGTCTTGGACGTGGTGCTTGCTGCCGACTATGAACGCACGTTGTTGTTGGAGGAAGAGAAGGAACTGTCGATGAGAGAGACGGAAGAAAACGGGGATCACAGTGCACGGCTGAAAGAGATTTACGACCGGCTTGGCAATATTGACTCGGACACGGCGGAATCGAGGGCTCGGTCGATTCTGAGCGGACTGCAGTTCCCGGAACATGTGGTAGATGGGCCGGCGAAGGCGCTTTCTGGTGGATGGCGGATGCGGACGGCGTTGGCGGGAGCGTTGTTCATGGCGCCAGATCTGCTGTTGCTCGACGAACCGACAAACCACTTGGATCTCGAAGCTGTGATTTGGCTGGAGCATTATCTGGAAAAGTACGACAAGCAGATCATCGTCGTGTCGCACGACCGAAACTTTTTGAACGCCGTGACTACCGACATTATCCACTTGACGCGGCAAAAGCTCGTGTACTACAAGGGTGATTACAATGCGTTTGAAAACACGATGAAGGAGAACTTGCGCCAGCAGCGAAAAGCCTATGATGCCCAGCAGATGAAGATCCAGCACATGCAAGAGTTTATTGAACGCTTCCGGGCTAATGCGAAAAAGGCTCCGCTAGTGCAGTCGCGTGTTAAGGCACTGGACAAGATCTTGCGCAATGAGTTGATTGACGAGCCCGAAGATGAGCACGCTTTCCGGATGAATTTCCCGCCGCCAGAGCCGCTTGGTCGACCTATCATTGCAGTCGAAGACGTTGGCTTCCGGTATACGCCTACATCGCCTTTTCTGTTCAAAGACGTGCACATGGGCATCGACATGTCGAGTCGCATTGGTATTCTCGGTGTGAATGGTTCAGGAAAGTCAACACTTATTAACATTATGATTGGCAAGCTGCGTACAAATGAAGGCTCGGTGACATTGAACCCACGCCTACGTGTAGCCACATTTACTCAGCATCACGTCGACTCGCTGGATCTGTCCAAGTCTGCGGTGCAGAACATGAAAGAGATGTTCCCCGGTCATGAGCCGGACGAGTTCCGTTCGCATCTTGGTCGTTTTAATCTCTCAGGAGAGCTGGCAATCAAACCCACGCGTACGCTGTCCGGCGGTCAAAAGTCTCGTGTCGGTTTTGCACTCATGACGTGGCGTTTGCCGCACGTCGTGGTACTCGATGAGCCCACGAATCACTTGGATATGGAGACAATTGACGCTCTCATCGATGCTCTGCGCGATTACAAGGGCGGTGTGGTGATTGTTTCTCACGACCAGCACTTTGTCACGAGCGTGTGCGAAGAGCTGTGGGTGGTGGACGACCAGAAAGTGGCTCGCTTCCGCGGTACCATGAGCGAGTACAAGAATCACGTGCTGGTGAAGAAGTGAGGTGTACGGTAGATGTCTCATGTCATGGTGTTCAGGTCGAGTGCTGGCAGCGTGGCAGTTCTTGCGGCAAAAGACGTGGCTGTTTGGTGGATTTGCGGGTGATGGCATTACCTTGTCGTGCAATTAGCTCTTCAGCTAGTTATACTCTTCTGCGCTCGGTGATCGAAGGTCGTGTGGGAGTTGCATTGCCTCCACCTGTAATCGTAAGCCGAAGGCTTAGGGGCGATGACTGGTACTGTGGCAAGTCAAGTTTACATGATGGTAAGTCATTCCAATACGAAGCTGTGGGCACTGTTGTTATACGAAATGTTGGAAGCAATCATTGTAACTACTGTACGCACTTCGCGAGAAGCTACTGTCATACAAAATCGTACATTGATTTTGCAAGACCTTTTGCCGTCGTGTCACCACTTGATCATAGCGGTTTACATCTGTTCAACTTGGAACGAAGCGTCGACTTCAATTGCGCGTGTGTCTGAATAGCGTTGCTTCGGTTTCGAGTGACTGCTGCGTTTTGACCAAGAAATTGGTTCAAGGCTGCACGGTAATGGTCGTATATCAACGCCACCTGTACGTCATACGGTCCTCGTCTCTCCGACCTCAAGTTTGACCTTAGACATGTTCAGCCTACCATCGATCGCCCACTAAGTTTAGTCGTAGTGGGGTAAGGTGCTTGCACGAACTCGATGGCAATGATGCGACGAATGTTGAATGGACTGTCGGGGCAGTTTGAAGTCCAAGTCGACATCGACATCGTCACTAGTAAACATGACGTGACTTGCGACAAATATCCTACGACAGGAACCTTGTGGTGGTCGAGAGGATACGGTGCAACGTGATGACGACGAGCTTGGTACGAACGCCGATCAGTGAGCGGTCCATCAGCAATGCCAAGTACGAGAGCCGTAGCATAGAGTCATTGCGGTATTACCGAGTCAAGACTGCGATGACTGATGATGGTAAGAAAGTCGGCATCGATAATGTGACCATGGACACTACTTGTCGAGCGAGGTAAGCACTGCTTCACCTGTTTTCAGCATAATGAGAGAAACGCATGTGATTATGCGACTGCACCACAGAGGGACGAATGCTGCCACGATAACGCCACTCGAAGGTTTGACTTACACGCATAATTTGACGATTATTGATACCCTTTTCCCCAGCAAATGACCACGAGTGGCCGGGGATGTGTACACCATCGTCATATCTCGACCTTTTTCTGTCGTGCCACGCTCGTGCTCCAAATCTTTATCTGTCAATTTCGCGCGCATAAATGGTACACTGACATCTTTTTAGCTCCAAATGGGTATCTTCACCTATTGAGTTTAGTACCAGATCAGAAGGAAGCGCATGTCATTTATACCGGAAGACACACATTTCTGCATCAGATATGATCATCCTAGCGAATTTCGTTTTCCATCCTTCCATGTCCGTTATGACAAACTAGATACAACAGATGGCCGGGCACTTGGAACGTCGTCAGATGCGTTGATCAACCGGAACAGCTGGTGAACGATGTTTCGACATGACCTAGAACGTCATCTTGGTACCCGAGTGACAGTTGGGGAAGTCGCGGACACGGACTCGCTCGGTACCCGAGTAGCTCAATTTCCAGATCTACCACTTCGCACGAAAAATGCTCGAGAGCTTCATGGTCATTCCCACTCAATGATGCGATGATGCAGTCAGCCCCGCCATTACTCGACATCCGAGCACTTGGTCACGTTTTCCTGGTGTACTAAATTATCACGATAAGAGCTGAAGCTTACGCACCGCCTACGATACACGAGCGTCTGGATGTCTACTTGACTGTAGCATAGCACGAAATAAGTGAACAGCCATAGCGTCGTAGGATGGAGGAGAGCCAGTGGACGGCGACAGGAGGATGCAAGTTTCTTTGCATACTTGTGATAGCGACAGAAGTCCGCAAGAAACCATTACCCACAGCCAGTTCAAAGCGAGCACGTACTATGTGTACTACACGTCAAGCATCGAAGCAGAACTGAACGACTTCTTCAATTTGCACGCACAGATCAGGGATGATATGCTAGCGCCTTTGTAACATGCCGGCCATTATCGAGGCAAAGAAGCACAAACAGCATCCATCAGAGAGAACTGCAGAACTGGTAGTTGAGAAGAAAAACGGGCCACATTTTACGACAAGCTTTCACACGTCACGACAAATTGACTAACGACAAATTGACTAACGATATTACAGCGACTAACGATATTACAGCTCACGCTCACTATCAAGAGCTTTTTTCGCTATCGTTACAAAGTGGAGCTCGTAGTGAATAATCCCGTGTCTCTAAACCTCTTCGCTCGAGATCACCAACCCGTGTAATATCTAGATAAAAAACAACAACGCTGCACTTGCTTTTCACACACTCACACACACTCACAAACATAACCCTCCGTCAAAAAGTCTCTCATAAATCCATCCCATTTCACGATAATCCCCAAAACAATATCCAGTGAAACAAAAAATCCAACCGAAAGACGACGCATCATGGCGAGTCTCCGCCGCTTCTTGCACCCCGACGCGCCTCCTCCCACGCCCTGGACGACGGAAAATCCACCTACGCAGCACCAGAGCGAGTCCTACTACGCGTCTCCAGCCACACACGCGCACAGAGAGCGCGCTGAGACGGCTCCGACGCCGCAGCAGAGCCAAGAGACGGATGGCGCGTTTTCCGCCTCGAACTCGCGCGTTTCAAGCTTTTCTCGGCGATTTTTTGAGCGCGCAAGCGGTCGCTCGTCGTCTTCGTCGTCGTCTTCTTCTGGTGGTGACGACGTGGAAGGTGCGGGGGTGATTTGGGTGGAGATGGTCGTGGTGGATTTTATCCAAGATAATATCGTTTGGGTTTGTATGACTAATAAGAAATTATCTGCTTGGTGGTTGTCTCGTATGTTTTTGTGTTGTTGTGTTGTTGGATTTTCGGATTGTTGTTGTGATGGTGCTAGGTGGTCTGATGACGTCCACAAGCTACTTTCGACCACGCACGATGGATGGCTACACTCGGTACCTCGAGTACGTAAGGACGACGAGCAGGAGTGCAGTGACTTTATTGATCGTGACAGTGACGAGGCTAATGACGACTGGTGATGATGGTACTGCTGCTACTTTTAGAGCTGCTTTTATGGAAGGAATGCTGGAAAAACAGAGCTCGGAAGACCTCAAGCTCTGGAAAAAGAGATGGTTTGTCATGCAAGACAGCAAACTCTTTTATTACAAGGCAGAGAGTGATGTGACGGAACAAAAACCAACGGATCAAGCATGTTGTGGTGTCATCTCGATGGAAAATATTGACTCGGTTACAACAGCGGTACGATGAGTTCTTTTGGCATTTTGCTTCTTCTTTTCTCGGCTTGTGCAGAGATGTGGAGAGAACAAACGCTGGTTCTTGACGCTACTTTCATGGCATCCGACTGATGTCTTCGTTGCCGCCTCTTTGCTGACTTTCGCCTGTGTTTACCTTATTTGCCGCTTCTGTTGCCTTCATTTTTGTAGAAGGATTTTGGTGCTGCTGCGTTTCAGATCCGGATGGAAAGTAGGCGTTATGTGCTACGTGCTGAGTCAAAAGATATGGTATGGAGGCTGTTGTGGTGTCGTTGTGGGTTGGATGTGTATCTCACCGTTTGTCGCTGCGGTAGATGCACGAGTGGCTGTTTAACTTTCAAAAATCAATCGCAAATATCGTCTTGGCTCTGTCTCGAACGCAGGTACGCATTGACGTACGGGGTGGAAAAGGAATGAATGAATCATGTAATGTCGCTGCTGGTCAAATGCTTTCAGGCAGAACATCGACCGATTGGACTATGCAACAGTTTATCGAGAAGAGTATGTACATGAGATTGGACTTGTTTCGCTCCAGATAGAAAGCAACGCACAGCTCACTCATTTTGACTGGTATGTTTGTGCTTTCGTACGGGGATCTTACAGCAGAGCATGCCCCGCGTCAGTCGCAGCGTCTCGTTCGACTATCAGGACCAGTTTCCCATTGCAGCCTCTGGCGATGACCTACATCGCGGCCGCGCAAGCTGTGGACTTTTTGCGTCAACGAGCTTTTCTGACGAATCAACAGGTGGTGACGGCTCTTCGTCTTCGCGAGCTAGCCCTCGGCTCGCCACTAGCCCGTTAGGGTTTGGTGGGTTCGGACCACGAAGCCCACTGATGTTTGCCTTTGATCCGATGGATGACTTGCCGGAGCACCACACTTCTCCATTACGGCGAAGCTCAATCGTCGAAGGGAAAGATGATAGCTTCGGCTTTGGTGATGGACGCCTGCACCCCAGAGATCAGTGGGAGGATGAAGGCGAGGAAGTCAAAGCTACGGAATGTACTACTGATACACCGTCGATGGGACGACCGTCACCACCTCCAATTGTTACAGGCAAATACATTCCCCGATACCTTCGAAATCGGAGTGCTGCAGAGCCAACTTCTCCACCATCTATCCCAGTTGATTTGTGTTCACCACCAGATCCAGCACCTACTCCTACCGCCAGCCGTTGGGTGCCTCGCCACCAACGTGAAGGGTACGCCGAGATGCAGCCTATCGAGTCGTTCTCGATCAACTCTCGAGACTCCTTTCATGAGACTTTCCACGAGGATAGTTCGAGCTATTCTACCGGCGATGATGTTCATGGCGTGACATCACTGTTAGGGGTGCGATCATCGATGGAAGATATCTGCTGTTGCATCCCAGACCTTAATGCGCAATTGACGGGCGACCAATCTCGACATCAAAGGCAATCATTTTATGCTTTGTTTGATGGCCATAGTGGTGTAAGGGTACGTACCACAGGTACTGCTTTGCGGTATCAATCTAATCACGTTCTGAACTTGTGCAGGCTGCATCTTTCTCAAATCAACGCCTGGTGCCTTATTTAACTGCACATGAAGCTTTCATGGTTGACACACACCTAGCGTTTAGGGAGTGCTTTGCGCGGATCGACAAAGAGTTCTTGCAAAAGGCCGAGGACGAGGTAGGCGATGCAATTCCGTCAACTTTGGACTTGATAGCGCTAATTCTCTGATTGTGATAGAGTCTGGATGATGGCACTACAGCAGCGGTGGTGTTGATTCGGGGAAATCGCCTTATTACTGCGAACATAGGAGACAGCAGAGCGGTTGTGAGCATTGGTGGTCAAGCACTGGATATTATTGAAGAGCAGACACCTGGACGTGCAGATGAGCGAAAGAGGATTGAGGAGCAAGGAGGCTGGGTGAATGAGGAGCGCGAGCTGCAGCTGTCCAAGCTGCATTGCATGGATTTGAGTGACCCCGAAATTCAGCAGAGGGCCGAGCGAGTCGTAAAATGGATGACAATCTACCGAGTGAACGGCGAGTTGGCCGTTTCTCGCGCTATTGGCGATATCGATTATAAGGGTGAGGCATTGTCGCGATATGAGTACTGGGCGTTTCCCGAGGGCCACGACCGTATGTTTCGCGGTGATTTGGTCATCTCGGTGCCCGAATGTCAGGTGCGATGCCGGTAGATGGGAAGAGGCTGTTAGATTCTGGCAAAGCACTGACGATCCATCATCATTGACAGGAGATCGAGATTACGCCCGAATTTGACTTCCTCATTCTCGCATGTGACGGGCTTTGGGACACAATCAAGAGCAAGGAAGCTGTGAAATACGTCGCCGATAGGCTAAGCCAAGGTTACTCTGCAAAGGTTCGTTGTGTGTCGAGATGGATGGAATCGCCGAGCTGGAGACGAGATGCTTACTGAGGTGGTTCGTTCTTGATGTTCTGTAGCAAGCAAGCCAGTCGCTGGCAAACTTGGCCATTCGGTCCGGTTCATCCGACAACGTTTCCGTGGTTATAGTGCTGCTCAACACGGAGCAACTGCCTCGCGATATAAATGCATTCTCTAGGGAGTGAAAGCTGAGAGAGATTTGCTGTACGCCAGCACGGTGCTTGGATTCTGCGCTCACGTGCTATGATCTTGAAGTGAAGAACGAGGAAGCATAATCTGAAAGGCAGTCCTTCTCGGCAATAAAAGTCTAGAGTGTGCACATTTACATCCTCTTGTTACATTTACTTGACTTGACCCCTCTCGATGACACTTTGATCGTTGTTACTTTTCCACCGACGCAATGATACCTACGCAACAAAGACGAACAAGTCAGAAACACGACAGACCCACAACAGCATCTCCGTATCAGCTCATTGTCATACCTTGCACAATTTGGCCAAAGACCGGGGCCGCAACAGAATGAGGATAGTCCTCCAAGAACGACACACCCTCTTCACACGCCTCTGTGAGCTTGTTGTCTAGCGGCAGACGTCCGAAAAAAGGCACATTGAACATCTTGGCCATTGCCTCGCCACCTCCGTTTGATGCAGAAAACACGTCCATCTGCACCGAATACTGCAGCAGTTCTGGTGCCTTCTCTTGCAGTAGCTTCACAGGTGAGACAAACACCACCAACATATAGAGCAGCGGCAGTCAGTCACTCACGTCAGCAAAGGCAAACAAACGCACGGCACCAACCCCTCTCCAGCTCACCTTTTTAACAGCTTCCGTCTCATCATTACCATCCTTTCCAACAAACTGGACGTCGTCAAGCCGCCGCTGGATGCCACTCATGTTCTCCACCACACCAAGCACCTTGATCTTGGTCTTGTGGCAAAAGTTCAGCTCCTTGCGCACATCACTGAGTGCAACCTCCTGCGGCGTCGTGACCACCACCGCGCCGTCTAAATCCGCTTCCTTCATGTACTGCACGATACTAATGTGCTCGTCCGACGTGCCTGGTGGCGTGTCAATAATGAGGTAATCGAGCTCTCCCCACTGCACATCCACTAGAAACTGCTTGATGATCCCGCTCTTCTTCGGGCCTCGCCAGATAATCGCGTCGTCGGCATTGGGCAGCATGAACCCAATGGACATGACGCCCAGATTGTCCTCCACATAGACAGGAGACCACCCGGCAGCGCTCTGATGCACTTCGTGGCCCACCAGTCCGAGCATCCGAGGCACGCTGGGTCCTGTAATGTCCACGTCCAAGAGTCCCACTTGAAACCCTTTACTTGCCAAGGCAAACGCCAATTGACAAGCCACGGTGCTCTTGCCCACGCCGCCCTTACCGGATAAGACCAGGATCTTGTGCTTGACATTGGCCAATCGCTGCTTCACGTCGGAGATCGCGGGGTCCGGGACACGAGCAGCTCCAGAGGCACAAGCGGTTTGGTTTGGGCAACCTGCACAGCCGTCAGCTTTGCCGGCTTGGGCGGCTTGAGGCCCGACGCAGGAGGCATTCGCGTTCTCCGGGACGGTGGGAGCCATTGGTTTTGGTTTCTTGAAGAGCTCTTTGAGGTCGGGATTGGACGAGAGAGGTGATACCGGTTTTAGTTTATTTGATGGGGTACGACTGGGTGGGTACGTGCGTGGGTGGGTGCGTGGCTGAGCGCGGTTTTGTTGAGTTTTTTGTGGGTTTTTTGGAGAGGCGCGCATCTAGAGTCGACTCAAAGGTCCTTGTCGTCGTCAAGCGATGTTTTGGTGAAGTGTTACAGTATACTAAAGTGATACCATCCTTGCAACGCACGCTGTACGACGTCAGCTGTCTTTGCCTGTCAAAATGTCTCATATCGCTGTTGGATCCATTCCTGTGACGATGCAAGGAAGAAGTATATTATGCACTTTAAGCTCTACCGCTGTCCTTTTTCGTTAAGATCGAGATCACGTGTCCGTTTTTATCTTGCCATCTTTCTTCTGCTCACGATATTCGAGTCAAAGAGAGGCGACGACGCTATTTTCGACTTGTTTGAGCTGAAAGCCGACAACGATTCAAATCTGGAAGCAATCGCGGATCACATATCCCACATACAGGACACGGCTACGTATACAACTGTTGCTCTGTCCGGGGCACACACGTGTCATCACTACCGCCAACTCACGGCATGATCTTATCACCACTTTGTCTCAATATGCATTCCAATCACAGCACAAATACAAATCGAGTCACAATCGTAATACCTCGGCTTTTCGAACCATGACCGCATTCGAAACTCCACAACGTCATCATCCTGTCGCTGACTCGTCTGGTAAATCCTTAACTACGACATCCCAATGCGATAAAATTCGCTTCGAAAAAACAAGCGCATTCTCATCTAGAAACGACTTTCTCCTCACCCACCCACCCACTATCTCCAATCGACCTGTGATTGGTGCTCCCCTCCACCAATCACCCCTCGCTCACCGTCCCTCCTCCTCCCGCACTGCACCACACCAAAAAACCCACACACACCAGCTCGAGTAGTCGCTCCAATAGAAGCCCCCTCTTTTTCGATCTCAATCCCTCCGTCGTCCCAAAAAAGCAGCTTTTTTGTTCTCCGCGTGAGCCACTCGTCCCCATGATGAGTCCGACGTGGCAGCCGCAGCCCGCGCTGCTCAGCGAAGTCGTCGCGCTCTTGCAGGCCCATGGCGTCCCCAACAACCAGGTCCAGCTGGACTCGTACCAGCGACTGCAGCAGCTGGAGCAGAACCTCGAGTTTAATCTCTACCTCGTGCACTTGCTCTGTGCAGCTGAAGTAGACGTGACGGTGCGGGAGCTGGCCGGGTTGTTACTTAAGCGCAACATTAAAGCCCGCGACACCACCGCTGCACTAAGTGGCCCCGAGTCAGAAATGCTGGCTGTGATTCGGGCCCAGACGCTCCGAGTTTTGGCCAATCCGCTGCCGCCGATCCGCAAAACCGCGGGTATTCTTGTGACGACATTTGTGTCCCACTGTACGTTTTTAGATGAATGGCCGGAGCTCATGCCTGCCCTGTCGTTGTTCTTGGAGCAACAATCGGACGACAATGCCATCGCCGGGGCATTGAGTGCCTTAGTGAAAATTTGTGAAGACTCGGCCGCGAAACTCGAACATTCACCAAGTCGACCACTGAATACGCTCGTGCCGCAATTATTGCACTATTTCCACCACCCTAATGCAACATTTCGTCGCGACGCGCTCGCGTGTTTGAACCATGTGCTGATTTTCATGCCCGTGGGACTCGTGGTTCATATGGAGACATTTCTTGCGGGCATTTCGCTCTTGACACAGGACGTGTCGAGTGACGTACGGAAACTCGTTTGCAAGAGTATTGTCATCTTGCTGGAAGTGGGCGTGCAGTACCTCGTGCCGCATTTGGACAGCATCATCCAGTTTATTCTACGGGCTAATCAGGACACGGATGAGACAGTGGCCATTGAAGCGTGTGAATTCTGGGCGTCGTTTTGTGACTTGCGGGAGTTTGAGGATCTCAAATTGAGGCTGCAGCCGTACTTGACGCAGGTTGTCCCGCTCCTGTTTCGCTGTATGGTGTACAGTGAAGAAGACTTGGCAACCTTTGAGGCGGAAGAGCAGAGTCAGGATGAAAACGTGCCGGATCGACCGGAAGATATTAAGCCGGTGTTTCACCGCAAAGCTGGGAGTAGCTACGTGAGTGGTGGCAGTTTGAATGAGGATGACAAGCAGGTGGGAGACGAGGACAGTGATGACGACGACGATGATGATGATGATGATGGTGATGATACGATACTGAATTGGAATCTTCGTCGCTGCTCGGCTGCTGGTCTGGATAGCCTTGCTAATGGCTATGGAAATGACATTCTCTCCACGCTTCTGCCGTTGTTGCAAGAACGTCTCGCACAAGAACAGCCGTGGCCGCTGGTGGAAAGTGGTATTCTGGCCCTTGGTGCAATTGCGGACGGTTGCTACAATGGAATCACGCCTCACCTTCCCCAGTTGTACCCGTTCCTGCTGCAGAAATTGGACGACCCTGCACCACTCATCCGTAGCATTACTTGCTGGACATTGAGCCGTTATGCTTCGTGGGTCGTGGAACAGAGCAACCATGAGGCGCTGTTGAAACCGCTGGTCGAGGGTATGCTAAAGCGCATTTTGGATCCGCATAAGAAGGTACAAGAAGCAGCATGCTCTGCGTTCTGCACGCTTGAGGAAGAAGCGCGCGAGGAGCTGGTGCCGTACCTGACGCCAATCTTGCAGAACCTCATGTTTGCATTCGGCAAGTACCAGGCAAGGAACCTGCTTATTTTGTACGATGCCATCGGGACGCTGGCAGACTCGATTGGCGAGCACTTGAATCACCCGGAGCTGATCACGATTCTGATGCCCCCGCTTATCGCCAAGTGGAATGCCTTGGATGACCGCAGCCGTGAGACCCTTCCGCTGTTTGAGTGCCTCGCGCCTGTGGCACAGGCTCTCGGTAACGGCTTCCAAGAGTTTGCAATGAACGTGTACGTGCGTTGCCAGCGCATTGTCGAGAACGAGCTGCTGGCTGACGCCATGTCGGAGCAGAGCCCCGACGAGTTCGACGAGGGCGACTCGGAGCTCATCGTGTGTGCTCTGGACTTGATTTCCGGCATGATTGAGGGTCTGCAGCACAGTAGTGAGGCATTGTTGAACGGCTCAAACATTCTGAATGTGCTCATGAGTTGTGTTCGCCACGAAGTGCTGGATGTACGTCAGAGCGCCATGGGCATCGTGGGTGACCTGGCGAAGTATGCGTCGAACATTCTGCGGCCCGGTCTAGGTGGCCTGCTACCAGTGTTGATCGAGAACCTGAATCCAGACTTGCAAACTGTGTGCAACAATGCGAGCTGGTCGGTGGGTGAGATTGCCATTCGCATTGGCGCTGAGATGGAGCCGTACGTGGAGAGTTGTTTGAGTCGCTTGATCGACATGATTAATCGCCCCAAGTTGCCACGCAACTTGGTGGAGAATTGTGCCATCACGATCGGCCGACTCGGATACGTGTGTCCGAACGTGGTGGCGCCGCACTTGCAGGAATTCGCGATGCGTTGGTGCCGTGCCCTTGCGCACGTCCGGGCTCCGGAAGAGAAGGAGCACTGTTTCTTGGGGCTGTGCTACATGGTGAAGGCGAATCCGAACGGCATTGTCGCCGACTTTATGTTCATGTGCGGTGCCATTGCTTCGCTTGAGGGTCAGCGAATTCAGCACGTGGAGCTCAAGGACATGCTGTATCAGATCGTGCACGGCTTCAAGACAAGTCTAGGTGACAATTGGGCCCCGTACTTTGCGAGCTTTCCCGAGCCTCTGCGGCAGTTTCTCTCCATGCGCTTCAACCTGTAGCGAGCGTGAAGTCCTGTATCCGCACAATGTGAAAGAGATACAAGGGCGAAGTGAAGATGAAGCAGAAGTCGCGAAGATGTCAGGATGACGATCAAATGGCAGAAATGCAGGACGTGAACGTCTATCTGTTTGGTGGTGGAGAGGTGCGACAGTAGGAGAAGTAGTAGTAGCAGGTAGTAGTTAGAAAATAGCAGAGGTGAGTAGATGTCCACTTTAGGCAATGCGAGCAACAAAGGACAGTAGAGAATAGTAGATCGTAACCATCAAAATGAGGTAGCAAGCGAGATGTTAAGCTTGCAAGATGGATGCACATCCATCACCATCGACTTGAAGTATATCTGAAGAAATCATCTTGTCATTGAACTCGATACCGTCTGTCGTAACCAACACTCACGTGCTTGATGTTGAAGCATCGGTCATTTCCACATCTTGCTCATCTGTTCCCGTCAACCTCTTGTCAAAACTTGGTGGTGTCTTGAAACGTGGAGTCCTTCTTCGGCCATGCAATGGTGTGAACCCAAGAGACTCGTCAAACTTGAAGACATCCGCTAGAAAGTCATTCCATATCCGCGGCGTGGAAAAGTGTCGCGGATCTTCATGTGTCGTCGTCACCATTGCAGTCATTTCGACATCGGCAGTCGTCATGTCAACGTCACTCGAGCGGTCTGCAATCGAAAGCTTCTTGTCGTGCTGGCTACGTATCATCGACTTCTTGTGGCCAGGACTGAAGAAATTGGGTGACCCCAATGGCAGCAGCGTCGGTGAAAACAATGGAGATGGCAACGTCGAGAACGGCAAAGCTGGCAGCAACACCTTCTCGTCGCTTTCTGCGCCGTTCGCCAACATGTCAATGAAGGTTGGACTGAGCATACCGATCGAGCTTGCAGAGCCTCTTCGGGTTCGTGACCCCGTTCCTGATCGGAAGATCTCTAAGGTTGCATCTAGTGCCATGGAAAACAACACACAGCACAAAGTTTATCAGATACAACAACTCGCTCAACAGCTCACACCTCTCCAACTTCGTCACGTAAGCTCACCTTTGCCTGAACTTCTAGGCGGGACTTCAATAGGCGGTGGAGGAACCGTGCGTTGACTCAGCGAGCTACGTCCCTGTTGGTGCACGACCACACGGTCGCTTACAGCCGAGTTTTCATTGCCAGGTGTCTCACTCGAGTCAACTTCATGTGCCATCTCATCGAAGTGGTGACGCACCTCCTTGACCGTCTTACCCGGTACAGTCGCTGCAATTTCCGTCCACGGGTACGCTTCGCTTCCAGCCCAACCTGCAAGTGCTACCTCGAACGTCTTGTCTTCTTTAAACGTCCACGCTGTCGACGTCTTCAGTCCATTTCGGCGTAAACCAGCGATCCGTGGCTGATTCGACTGCTCTAACAGCTGCAGCGGCTGGCTGCGAGCTTGGCCTAACGTCTGTCCCGTTAGCGCTTGCGCACACTCTAGAGCTGCTGCACTCAGAGCACTTCCCCCCGAAACTTCCGGCTGCAACATCCCTCGCTTTCTCGAGTCGCCTCTCACTTTATGCAAGTCCACACTCCGTCGTGCTTCACCCGTCAGTCGACTGGAATCCTGTGGCCTGCCAGTAGTGGCTAAAGAATGGCGCGTCAAAGACGGCGAAGGCGGTAGCTGTCGAACCAGTTGCTGGAGATACTGTCGACCGTGAAGCCGCACTTCAGCCAGCGTGCGGGAGCCGACAAAGTCGGTAATGTGCATCCACTCGTCCCCATCTTGTCTCGAGCCGTAGAGCTCCAGCGCTTGCATAAAGCGTCCGTGCTCTTCTTGCAGCCACGTGTCCGACTTGTCGTACAAGGCTCCAGCACAGGCACTTCCCTCGGTCGCCCATTGGCGCTGGACCCCAACAGCTGAAGCTCGAGGCGGTTTCTGTCCTGGCATCATGACTTCAGTCTCTTGATCTCGAGTGTGCGAGACACTTGATCCGATTCAAAAAGACTCTCTCTTGACAAGGCTCTTGGTCAGGAGACTGGAAGCGACGTGGCTGGCTGGAAAATAGAGAGAGAGAGAGAGGAGCGGCTGGAGCTGCTTGGAACCGGAAAAGAGCGAGGAAAGCCGCACGGGAGCAAGTGGGTAGTTCGTTCGTTGCAAGTTGCGACTGTCGGCTGCAATAGAGAGAGAGAGAGAGAAAGAGAGAGAGAGAGAGAGAGAGAGAGAGAGAGAGGAAGATACTTTTTCTCCAAGAGATATCCCGGTACTTCCTGTCTGACCTTTGGTAGTGAGCTAAACGACGTCTCGCGACTGTTCGGGGAGGCGTTTTTTTCTCACACGTCACAGCGTTACAGGAAACCGGCTGTAGCCATGTGGTGACAGCTGCAAAAGGACGGTGGCAAACGTCTGTAGCCATCGGCAGATAGGTGGATAGGAGAATCAAGATCGAGCGGTTTGTAGCCATCTTGGATTACAGCAGTCTTTTCGTGAGCAGCTCATGTTGTTAACGCGGCTTTTTTTTGTACGAACGAACGTTCGAGGAACGCGAGCGTATGTCTCGATCGATCGTTGGGGTCAGAGACTAACTGCACAAAAAAGAGACGTTTGTGAGACTTTAGTGGCGACATCACGCAAGTCCGGTCATATCTAGTAGTGCCGTTGTTGCCTGCGTCGTGAGATCGTGAGACCTGGGGCTCTGTAGTTTGTCTTAATGCGCGTATCGAGATGCATGTAGTGTTATAATTGGTCCGGCAGTCGACACAGTGACGGTGATTTGTGGATATTTTGAGTGGTTTCAGTGAGGTGTCGAGTCTTGACCTGCTGGCATTGTAGCGTGACGACGTCAAAAAGAGCGAATGCTGCGACGATATATCTACAACGAAAGGCATCTATTGCGCGCTAACGTTCCACCCTGTCTGTGGTGTAGGTTTGTAATTCCAAGGACTGACGGTGCTCCTCTCTTGAATCAGTCGACGTATCTGTAGGTAGTCATCATATGAAGCATATGCTTACGGACTTGACCTGGCAAAGTAGTGATAGCTCAGCTCGCAATCAAGCAGCGACACCATTGTCTTCAGCAATAATCCATAGCACGCGATAGAGCTCGAATGAGCTAGCCACACCTCCTTCACACTGCTGTATCCGCAACTTGATCAGTTTGAGTTCCGATCAGAGAAAGCTCACAAGATAGAGAAGCAAGTCAACGTTGTCTTGACCTGCATCATGCATGCAGAGAACTCGTTCTGAAGTAGACACGCGCATCTTCGATCATTCAGCTTTGTGACCCACACACGTCGCAGACAAAACAGACGTGTCAGCTGATCGCTGCATTTGATTATCTTCTCCATCATACCGAAGCACTACCTTGTTCGCAACACTCATACTGGTAGCATGACACCAGCATCAAGACCTCGCATATTGGAAGCTCGTTATCGATATTACAGCCGTTCAGATTGCTTCATCATACCGAACGCAGAACGCAGAGTAAGACCTATCTACCATTCTAAATATCATATCGGTATGTTGCGACACCCATCAACGTCCGCCCTCACCCTCGTCCAGCAACCACACACGTAGACCACACACTTGTACCACATGAAAAAATGTACGCACGCCGACGGTTCGCGTCGATCCTCTGCAGTCGCGTCCACTCTTCGCCCCGTCTGTCGTCGCGACTCCCTCCGGCTCCCGCAGCTTCCAGTCTATCCACCACATGCTCTGCATCAGACGCTCTCGACGAGCGCATTATCTCGTTGCTAGTCGTAAATCGACCCGGTACGTCGCTGCAAATTATCTGTACGATCACCACATCACCACATCACCGGTCTTGTCAACGGTTTCAATCAAACACACGCCGTTTCCTTTTTGACTTGCGTTCAGTATACTGACACGGTTTAAAACACCCCCTCTTTTGAAAAAAACGCTCTTGTAGGCACCTTGGCCCACATCGCCAAGGTCTTTGCGTACGCGGAGAAGAACATCACGAGTCTCTGCGTCCGCTCGACGGTCGTGCCCGAGCTCTCGCGCGTCACGATCGCGTGTTTCCTGCACGACAACGAGCTGCCTGCGCTCAAGGCGCGACTGGGCGCTCTCGTGACCGTCACGTTTTTCCACGTGACCTCCGTCCCCCTTTTGTGTTTCCAACCACCAGCTGTTGTTACGGTCTCAGCTACTGCTACAGATTCGACGGACATCACGGCACCAGTGCCAGCTGCAGAAAGTGCTGCACGCGTTCCACGCTGAACTGATTGTTCCAGAGGACGAACCGGATGCAGAAAAGGACGAATCGCTCCTGGCCATGGATTACGATAATGATGATGATGATGATGACGAGGAGGAGCAAGATGGTAATCATGATGGAGATCATGAGGAGATCAATGATGGCAGGGCGGAAGCTTTGACGACGCAGTTTTTGGCTCTTGTGGATGAGCCGGAACGACTGACGCTGTTCATTGAGACGCTACTGGACAACGGGTTCGAGATCCTCGAGACGCAGACGTGTGGTCCGCTGTTTCTCGATACGTCGCACTCGACGTTGGATCCAGAAAGCGTGACTTCGTTCCGACGTAAAGTCGCTCTGGAAGTGGAAAAGCTGCTGTCGGATGCAGCGACGAATGGAGACGCGACGTCGAGAGGCTTTGCAACGACAGGGCGAATGGTTCAAGCTGGGAGAGGTAATGGAAGCGAAGACACTGCGCTGATGCTTCGACGTTCGAACGGGGATTATAACGACATTGAAGTGGGAGAGTGGCGCCGAAGCAGATCTATCAGTAGATGCCGGTGTCATGACTCCCGTGCTGCCTACTACGTCAACGTTCCAGCTACACACAAATGAACGGGGCTGCTTCACTGCGAACCGGTTGGAACTGCATGCTCGTATTGCACAGCAGCTGTACGCTTCTGTGCCGCAGGACGTGGCTGTTCCCAAATTCGTGCTGTTGTTGGGGATCCCCGGCGCGGGCAAGTCGACCATGCTGAGCCATCTGGACCTTGTAGGCCAGCTCACACTGCAAGATTATGCAAACTTTGACATTGACGATGTCATTGCGCTGTTGCCAGAGTTCTACCACGCGATGCTGAACGTGGGTCTGGGCAATGACCCAGCAAGTCGCAGTGTGACCAACGTGGATGCTGCTAAAGTGCACTCAAAGAGAGTTGCGAAACTGTTACCAAAGCCGCAGACACGATACCAGCTTTGCCGAGACGAGGCCCGCTTCATTATCAAGAAGAACCTCGACAGCGCTATCATGTCACGCAAGAACATTCTTCTGCACGGCAGTGGCAAAAGCCTTGCCAGTTATACTCGCACGGTTGATCAAGTGAAAGCAGCAGGTTTTGACGTGCACGTGATATGTCTAGACATTCCAACAGCAGAAGCTTACAAGCGGGTGGATAGACGCAGTAGAGGCTATGGGCGTGACGTGCCTCGACTTGTGATTGACACGGCGTCGTCATTGATCGCGCAGAATTTCCGTCGACTAGCGGATCGTGTGCCAAACGCCCATCTCTTTGACAGTATGGAGATTCCACCTCGACTCGTATGGAGCAAGCAGCAGTCGGAGACTGTTACTGAACATCCAGACGATGATGTGCAGCGAAAGTATGGCATCAAGTAGAATCAGGAGACTGCGAGTACCTCATCGTGCAAGACAACGCGAGAGACAAAGGAGGCAAGTCTAGCTATCGATGGGACGTATACGACGACGGACGATGGCGAGTGACCATTGAAGGGTGTTTGACAAGCGAAATGAAGGGGGTGTATTGATGCGCATGCTCACGTGGCGTATGCGATGGACTCAACCGATCGGTTCACCAAGCTGTGCATCTACAACGCCGGAGCGAGTGAACTGGACGTGACGTCCTAGTCTTCCTCTCTCCCAGCGAACAAACTTGATTGAGCGGATGCTGCTTCGGCATGGTTCCTGCCTTCGCTCTACAAGGGATTTTGGGCCCCTTTTGAGGATCTTGCTGAAGCCAGTGAAGCGCTGTTGGAGCCCAACAGCACCCTCGTTCGCCAGAGAATTGTCGCGCTCATTGTAGTATTCGTTGTCGTACACGATCACGTCAAAGTCGTTCGCATCGGTCTTGAAAAGCATCACCTCCGAAATCGAGTCTTGGTATCTGTCGTCGACGACAGGTACGTTGTCTGAATAGCACACCCCAAAGCCATCGCCCGAGTTAGGCGCTCCGAGGAAACAAGCCCGTCCCGCTTCTTCAACATACACTTCTTGAACCGATTGCTTCGATGTGGTGAGGTTGTAGCCCGTAGTCGGCAACGTCCGCTGAAAAGAGAGTAACGTGCTCATCGAAAGGCGCGTCCATCACACTGAACATTTACGACGAGGTCGCAGCCGTCACCAAACTTGATACTCTTGATCGCACCTGGTGCAACAATCGGGTTTGCTTCCGTGCACCTCTTTGCCCGTTTGCCGACGCAGAACTCGGGTCCAGCAAAGCCGGTTTGCTCGTAAAAGCACACAAAGCAGGTATCACTCGGTGGCGGCAAGTCATTGATCTTGCTCCCTGAACTGTTTGCCCCACGTCTTGTCGATGGACATGGTGGCCGAAGCCGATGAGGTCGCCAGCGTCCAGACTGCATGGAAAAGGACGAATCGAAGCATCGTGAATGAAGTACTCGCTGCGTTGCTTGTTGATGTGGACGTTTGTGAAATCTGCTGTGGAGGCAGGAGCTCAATTGAGTTGTGAGCATGTTGATGTTAGCACAATGTGGCTTTCAGTCAACACCTTTACATCCTAAGACTGATCAGAATGTCGGGAGGAAGAGAGAAAAAAACACTTGGTTAGGTAGCTGTGATGCACGACGTGGTCACAGACTTGACGCAAACGACGCAAAGTCATGTGGCATGCGACACCTGACACGGCAATAGAGAGTTTACACACGATAAGAAGACGTAGTCGAGCAAAAATAAATAAACGGCAGAGATCTAAATACAGACCTGCTTGTCCCAGCACCCACTGGTCTGACCACACGTTTGCGAACTTTGCTTTGCCGCAAAAACATCCTTCGTGCGCTTACGTTTGTTTCGAGCTGTACTCTTTCCTCAATTTCTCATAATGCCGCATTTCGGCGGGCGACACAGACGGAACGACTTGCGAAAGCGCCGTCATAAAGTGTTCTTGACCCACAGACACACGCAGTTCTTCTGGTGACAAGCGGTTGAGGAGGAGGCGCATTGTCAACGGACTGGACGAATAGCAGTCCTTTACATTGATCTCTTCTGCCACATGTCACAACAGCACAAACAAAACACATGTCGTAACGGAAGAGATTAGCTCGAATTCTCACATGCGTCGCCATTCTTTCAACACGTGACACGCACCGAGTTGACGATCCAGAGACTTGACGCGATCCTTCAGTGCAGCCGCAAGCGCGCTAGAGCTGAGTGCGTAAAAATCTGCACCCGTAAAGTTGGTCGGACAGTGCTCAATTACTGCGTCCAAATCAACGTTCTCTGCCAGCGTGAACTTCCTCGTCTGTGCCTTTAGCACTTTTAGCTGTGCTGCTTTCTCGTTGCATATACCGAGGTAGAGTAGACGATCGAAGCGTCCTGGGCGCAGCAGACCTGTTTCCAGCAGATCTGGACGATTTGTCGCGCCTATGACAAACACTTGGTCATTACCGCCGCCACTGAGACCATCGATCTCCGTCAGCAACTGCGACACCACGCGGTCCATGACACCACCTGAGTCAGACCCACGCCCACGCATCGGAGCCAGTGAGTCCAGCTCATCGAAGAAAAGAATGCAAGGACGGCAGTTGCGAGCCTTCGCAAAAATCTGCCGCACGTTCTTCTCACTTTCACCAATGTACATGTTTAGTAGTTCGGGTCCCTTCACACTAAGAAAGTTGAGGTTCGACTCTGTCGCAATTGCCTTGGCTAGCAGCGTTTTTCCCGTTCCTGGAGGCCCGTACAGCAAGATGCCGGAGCGCTGGCGGACTCCAATCGCAAAGAGTTCCGGATGCTTGATCGGTAGCTGCACGACGTCCAGAATCTCGTCCTTCACGTCTTCCAGGCCACCCACGTCGGTCCATTTTACATTCGGAATCGATGCGTTACTGACGTTAGCAGATGACACATGCGCCTGCTGGTTCTGTACAGCTTCCTCAATGTCCTTGGCTGAGACAGAATAGCGATCGGAGGAGAGGTTGTCAGAGTCACCGAACACCAGGTCCTCCAACGACCGCTTGCTTCCGTTAGTCTCACCCCCAATCATTCGATCAATAGCATTGCTACCTGCATCTGCCAACATAGCCGAAAGCTCTCCGAACGTCCGACCTGCAGTCATCTGTGCGACTTCACTCAAATCCACGTCCTCATTGAGTTTTATAGAGACTGCCATGTGCTGCAAGAACTCCAGTCGCTGAGACTGATCCGGTGCCTCCAGATGTATCTCGTACAGGAAACACTGTCGGATGAATTTTGATACTTCTTTCGCGTCTTCTACGCACGCGACCAATGGAACGCTATGCTGGTCTTGACTAAGCGAACGAATGCACTCTGAGAGAACGGCGCCAACGCGCAGCTCGGCTTCTTCATTATCTCTTTCGACTGGGAAGAGGTGGCGGATGTACAGAACACAGGGAGACAGTGCTCGTGCCTTCGACACTTGCTCCCGCACGTTTTCTAGTAAATGAAGCTCCGACTGTCCCGTAAGCTCAGTGAATGATACCTCAACTGTGACCAC